TAAAGAAATAAATGTCCTATTCAAGATGCTACTCGAAAAACATTACCCAAAAGAATTTATAAAAGATGATATAAAAAAGAGGGTAAAACTGGAGAATGACAAGATGGAAGAATGCAAAAAAACAGTCACAATACCATATAAAAATGGCACATCATAGGCAATTCGAAGAAACCTCAAAAATACTGGGATTCGCACAACGTTTAAACCGACGAATCTAATCAAAAATAAAATAAATCAACTGAAAGATCCCATAAAAATGATGGATAAAAACAATTTGATGTACAAAATATCTTGTGCTGACTGTCCGACTAAATATGTGAGGCAAACGTCCAGATCACTCAAAATAACAGTGAATGAACATAAACGCCTAACTAAAGGTCATCTAACAGGAAGGAACACAAGCTTAAAACAATTTAGGAAAAAATTCATCGATAGCTGCACATGCATGGGACAAAAACCACAATGTCAATTGGGACAATGTTTGTATTCTAAAAACTAATATGAACAAATCGAAAGAGAGACTTATAACAGAATCTATATTCATTAAGGTCACACCAGATACATGTAACAAGGGTGGCTCAACAGCACAACTGTCAACAACCTGGAATATTATAATTCTGAATACAAAAACATGAATGAACAAAAAATTGAACTACAAATATATGAGTACAAATCATAACTGTGTGAACAGAACAATTCCAACAGTGGTGTGAACACGGGCAGTAATTTTGCTCGAAATATTACCAAAAAACAAAAACTAATCATTGTGTGTAAACTATTGAAATATAATTATACTTTATTTGATATATTCCCCACAATGCTCAAACTTTTTACTGACGTTAGGTCATATTATCTCTCTGAGGTGTGTTTTAGCTATCGTCGGTAAATTACGTGACAAGGATTAAATTCTTCGTTATTCTTTTCCTTACCAGTTTATGTGGATTGTTCAGTTCAATGAAAATGATGTCGGCAATGTTTTTAACCAATCTCATATTCACTTCTACTGATCTTTAAGGTTTAGACTACTACTAATTTTTCTACCTGTTCACAGGTACTGACTGTCATCGTTGAAGCATTTAAAGAAGGAAATCTATGTTGCTATCCCCCCCTTTATTCTCCCATCTATTTTTCTGTCTGTCTATCCCTGTGTCACAATCTGAATTAACGGAAATCTTCACGTTCGTCTGACAAGCTGACAGTTGGCCATATTTAAGAGACACGTTAATTCGAAAAGAAAGAATAAAAGTCAGTAATTATTAATATAAAATTATGTATTTAATTTGTTTTTTTTACAAGTGGAGAAACACAGTTTTTGTTCAGCGAAGAAATACTGTTTCTTTTCAACGACTTCATTTTCAAGCCAACTGTACAGCAGTCGTATTTATATTACGGAAAAAGAAGGCATTAATTTGGGGGCACTAGAAATTGTTCAGTCAATATTGCACATATTTTGAGTTAGACCACGAATTGATTGATATCACTTAGAGGAGTATTGAAAACCAGCACTGCGTGGAGTACTGGACAGCCAGCTGTTTCGTTAGCCTAGTTTGGGATCCATCGGCAGTACGCACCCACTGGGTTTCAAACCCATGACCTTCCGGTTACAAGGTAAGCGAGCTCGTAGACCCGATTCAATGGCCAGTCCATGAATTCTAACTTCTGACAGCTCATGATTTTTAGCGCGAGCACCAACCACACACATTCGATAAGAATAAAGATAATTAACCTCCTGTTTTAAGCGGATAGAGTTGAAGTGGATGAATTACAGAACTTTTAAAGATTATTCATAAGTGAATTGGTATTAAAATTTTTAAAATGGTGGGTCAAATTAATACATGTGTGAAACTTGGGCACTGTGGCGGTAGTAAGTAATTCCATATTAGTTTGTTTATTAGATATATCTCACAGTGAATGTAACAGTATTATTTACTGGATGACAAGGTTTCAAACACAATTTATTGTGGTTCATAATCATATCATCGATTATAATCACACGACTTTGAAACTTGAGTTTTATAGTTTTCTTTGTCCTCTCATATTTATCATCGTAGGAGTAGTAGAATTTTCCAGACATCCAGCTGGACAGGTGTTGAATCATTCCTATTACACGTGTTGGTTTGCAGTTGATTCGATAAACAAAGCTTCTGTTATCAATCTATCCCTCCACCCTGTGACATTAGATTTTAAAACTGTCATCCTATCCCATCCAGCCTATTGTATGGTTGTGTGTAATTGCATGTAGTGAGTGGTATAGCTGAACTATTCTCTAGATTTCTTATCTTATTCGGGTTAACTAATCTAGATTTTGTTGGGTATTTGTGCTCCACTAGTCTCATTGACCCTGTTATACTAGTTTGACCTATGTATTTGACCTGACAATCATTGCAGGTAGGGTATTAGATAAACTAAATTGTTTCGTTTCAAAGGCTCCACAGGATATTTTGACTGACAAAGCTTGTTTCTAACTGAGTGTGTGGGTTTGAATGCCACTTTTATTCCTACCTGTGTTGTTAAGAATTCTGTGTAAGGTGTTCCGAGGTCCCTTCCTTGTATGGAATTACTACTGATGATTTAGATTCCTTATTGTTGGTGTGGTCATTATCCTGTGCATGTTTGACATGCATGTCGTCATTAATATTATTACTATTATTATTATCACCATCAATATCAAATGTTTTCTGAAAAGTTAACAGTACACTGATAACAGTGGGGGCAGCGAAGATGAAGTGGGATGGAATCAATTCAAGTGGTAAAATAGAATAAAATAAACCAGGGACATTGCTATGACCAAGGTAAAGAAAGGGAATTAACAAAAACGTTTTTGAAAACATAATTTAGGTTTCTGTTCATGTGCAGCTTTAAACTGAGTCAGGTAGGGAGATGCAGACTTCCGGGTTGGGGGCCCACCCTCGGGACTCTAAGAATCAATCAATGAAGGCTGGAGACAATAGGTGACATGGCTCAAAATCGTTGTCAGTGGCTTATGCAGATGTATTCAGTCTCTGTAATCTTTCATATTCCTTTCTACCATTATTCATTCTGTTCCACTCTTATGCTTATCAAAACTCTATTGATTCTCTTCACTGATTTTCTTGTCTACCTTTGTGTGCTATTTGGAACGTGGCAACTGGAACTGGTGCACTTCGGTGTCAAGTTCTATATTGAATCCAGCCAGCCAGCATGTACAGCTAGAGCTTTGAGCCTGTACACAGGTGGAGAAAACATAAGTTTTTGGAGTGGTTGGATTTAGTGCTGTAGGTAACTTTATAGGATAAATCACGTGGGGCTGAATGACCTGACCCTACAAGATGTTCACAAATTGAAGACTTTGTTGTCTTATGCTCACCTTCCTATTAACCAAACCGGGTAACGTTTAGTTACGCGTTTAGGGAGGACATACTTACAATGTACAATGTAGTCGGCTCCACATGAGCATGTGAATGAGGAAATGCACGTAGAGGTGGACATAAGCGGTAGTTTATCCTTGACGCATTGCCGAATCATATTTCGGCTGATAAATACTAAATGTAAGTCAGCTGCATAAAAAGAGCATGTCATACATTTGCATAAATGACTTCTAATCCCTGTAGGCATAACACCATTTCTGAACGCCAAAATCATAAACAGTGTGTTCTTTGGCATTTTGATTTGGCTAGGGATGGTTTCTTTCTTGATGTTTCTTTCGGT